TACCTTACCACCTTGTCACTCAATGCCTGAACCAATTATACACTGTCAAAGACCCCGCTGCGTAGGCAACCCTGCCCCCCTTTGTTCCTGCTGTATATATACTGTTGTTCCAAAAATAAAGTTCGAGGCTTGATCAGAACTCTGTCTTGCCTCCATTTCTTCGTGCCCCTGTCCCTTCTTTTCATCATCCACAGGTCCTCCCTCTCCCCACGTTGTTGTGCCCCGCGGGTCGGGGCACACCCTTGAAGGCTTCTCCACCTCCCCCTGCTCCTGAGGGGCTATCGGGGCAGCAGCATCTGCTTGCACCTGTTGCAGGTTCGGCACCAGTCACTCTGCTCTGTCATAGGGTGCATGTGGGGCCAGAGCTGTCAGCGCATGGAAGCAACAGTGATAGAAGCAGTGCTGCTGGCAGACAGGAGACTTGGGGCCGCAGTGGGAGGGGCCAGGTGGGGGCATGGAGGATGGGCCAAAACCCATCCCTATTCCTACCGCAGCCTCATGGCCCACAGTTATTTTCAAGGTGCACAAATTCATGCACTGGGCCCTTAGTTACAAAATATTTTTATAATAAAGTCCAAGATAAAGTCAGGAATTTTGTTTATCTTGTCCACTACTGTATTCCCAAGACTTATGAGAATACCAAGCACTTATTAAGTAATCAAAAAGGGGAATAATTTTATGCATTAAATGTTGACCCAACCTTTTATTACCAGATAATTACTGTTTGCTCATGATGTACTCATCATTTACTTTGAAATTTTATAATAATTTATGCAGCATTTATATCTATATTCATAGGTTAGATTGACTCTTCTTATCTTTTGCTGTCTGTGGTATCTTCTAAATTAATCTGCAATTATCCCCACTCCTAGGTTCACAGTTATGTGCAAACCTGTCTCCCTGAGTATGGCTGTACTTACTGACTGAGATATAATGAACCAATAAAGTATATCACGTGAAAGAGGATGCCATTTACAAAATTAGTTCTAAAAAGGCAATAGCTTTCATTTGGGGTATATTCTTTCATTCTTTCTTGGATCACTTACTCTTGGACAAGCCAGCAGCCATACCATGCTGTAGTTCTAGAGAGAGAACCACATGGCAAGGAACTGAGGCCTGCCAACAACCATGTGAGTGAGTTTGGAAGACCTTCCCCAGCCTTCAGCTGAGAAGGCAGCTCCAGCTGACAACTTTGTCTGCAAACAAGTGGTAGACTGAGCCAAAGCATCCAGTGAAGCCACACTCAAGATCCTGACCCACAGAAATTGTGAGGTAATACATGTTTGTTGGGTTAAGCACTTACACTTTGCGGGTTTGGGTTATGCTATAATATGTAACTAATATATTGCCCTTGTGACATTTCTATGTTGTAGTTATTCAATTTTGTAAAATGTGTTGAGTAGCTACTTAGCTTATTCTGTCTTCTGAATTATTCTCTAATAGCAATTATTTATTCTTGAAACTTGTGCATAAAATCTAGCTCACTTTAGCATTTTTGAATGTGAACAGATAGAACTTCGACTACCTGAAATTTTATTATATTGGCCAACTTTATAGTTCCCAAAAAGTGTCCATTTCATTCAAATATTCAGCATAGGCAGCCTAAAGTAGTCTATAATTTTTAAACTTTTTTCTGCCTGTTATTTTAATGGAAAAGAAATAAACCAAAACAGTAGTAATTTTAAGTGGTAGAATAATGCATTATTTTATTATATTAATGTTATGGGTTTTCCAATTTTAAAATAAAGGTATGTTATTTAGGGTCAAGAATAAAATTAAAACATACATAATGTATGTAGGCATCTCTGTGTGTGTGTGTGTGTGTATATATATATATATATATATATATATATATATGGAAAAGTTATTAGTGATTTTTCAAATGTATAGTCAGTAGAAGATGAGGGACAACATCAGAAATCTGTAGAATAAGAAGTGAATGGAAAGAACTGGAAACAAAATATATACTTTTATTTTTCTGAGAGGAAAGGGAAAAGGTTAGGGTTTTATGTACTAGTAAAAAGTCAACTAAAGAAAAGGAAGGTAATTTTATGTTCTGTTTCTAAAGTGCAGGAACTTGAGGATGTTTATAGAATTAAGATAATGTAATAATGAATTAGCAAAGATTGAAGCAACAAGAAGAAAAAATATAACTGAAGCTTAAGGACTCAAAAGCTGTCAATACTACTGAATCCAGGGATAGAAGGCAGATAATGAATACTTGAATATAAAGTATTTTCAGAGCACCTAATGCCTTTCTGGAGAGCTATCTATAATAATAAAAGCATAGACCTAACTGGTCTGGCGGCTCAGGGGATAGAGCATCAGCCTGTGGACTCAAGGGTTCAATTCCAGTCAAGGGCATGTACCTTGGTTGAGGGCATATCCCCAGTAGGGAGTGTACAGGAGGCAGCTGATCGATGTTTCTAATTCTCTCTTCCTTTCCCTTTCTCACTGTAAAAAATCAATAAAATATATATTTTTTAAAATAATAATAATAATAATAATAAGAGCATAAATGCAAATCAACTGAACAGCCAAACAGTGTAATAACTATCTGAACAACCTCCCAAATGAAGCCAGTGATGCAAGGGCCAAGGCAGCCAGGGCTGCAAAGGCCTACTCTTGAACTAATTTCGTGCATTGGGCCTCTAGTCTATATATATAAAAGCCAAGTAACCAGAATGAGTGGAACAACTGGTCACTATTATACACACTGCAGTGGCCAACCAGCCCAATCAGGCCCCGATCAGCCCCCCCACAACCTCCCATGCCCCCTCTCTCCATCAGCTTGGCTCAATAGCCCCCATTGGGGTGGGCTGACCAGACCCTCCCCCGCCCCAGTGCATGAATTCATGCACCTGGTCTCTAGTGTTCAATAAAATCCAATGATTTCTAGGTCTAATTTACTATCTCATGGTAAATTAACTTTCTCCTTCAGCTGTGACAATTTGTACTTCGATAGCTTGATTACTGATTTTTTTTTTATCTGTGTTCTTTTAAGGAAAGGCATATGTCAAGGTGCTGTATTTTTTCTAATTAACCAAGGCCCTAAGCTATCTGGAGATAAGCTACTTTTCAACATTCACCTGGTGCCCACCCACCCACTCCCCGAATGCAATGAACCTTCTTCTGTACCTTCCTTTGATGTCCCGGGTTGCCAGCCCATGGATCACATAATGTACTTGGGCTTTCCTGGCAGGCTTCCAAGCTCACCTCCCATCTCCAGATATATCTGGATGGAAAACAAATATTTATAGAAAATGTCAAAGTGCCACTGAACATTCTGCCCTTAGTGTTCCCTAAGGGTTCTATGCTCATAAATTTGATTGCTTAGCAATGCAAACCATACTGCCAACGCTTTTCCTCATGATCAAGAAGTTAAGAGCTACAAGGCACATGAGAAAAATCAGTAAATTTTGGATTCATGATCAGAGATGCTAAATATTTCAAACCAGTCAAGTTTAAGTAAAGGATCAATCATTCATACACAGCACACACCAAAGACTCCACTATGAGTTTTCAGGGTGCTGGGGAAATCTTGTTCCCAGCAACTTTGAAGGAAAAAACCTGAACCCAGTCTTAAGAAAAGTCATTCCCATAGCTTTCAACTCCCTCACTGGTCCTCCTTAGGACCAATATGAGGTTTGTGAGGTTTTCCTCTTCCAGGACCTCTGATAATGATACCATAAGTCTCCACCTATGCCCCATCCCTGACTCAGCTCAACATATTATTTTCAAAGTCTCAGCCAGAGAGGATCTGCTCAAATAATGTAACTGCATGTTCCACTCACTACAATACTGAAGTAGAAAAACCACCTCTCAGAGGAAACCATGATAGAAAGGAGCTTCTTAAGATAAAGTTACTAAACTGGAGTGGGTCCATCTAAGTCCAAAGATTAAACAATTTTAAAATCGGTTATGAAAAATCAAATAAGATCAAGAATAGGAATGCACTTTGCAGCTTTCAAAATTGGTATTCTTACTTATGCCTTCTTCGGGGTTCCCTAGGCTACATGTTCATTTCCTTAGTGTCTACGAGGTCACTTGTGCCACTTTGTCAGACAAATGCTCGTGCGGCCTTGCCATTGTTTTTTCTATATTATTTGTTTTCCTGAGTTCATCTGAGGCTCACGCTTCCTTTTTGTTCCTCTCACATTACATGTAGCTGTGATGTGGAAACAATTTATGTTCACTAAGACTTTAGATATTAAAAAAAATTATTTTTTATTTTACTCAGTTGGTTGAACCAGTGTGTGTGTGGGGGGGGGGATGGGGAGGGGGTGTTACACAAAAGCTTTTCTATATCTCCCTAACCTGTGTATGGTTTCAAATATAATTGCTCAAAAATACCAATGAAAAGGCATGCTGTGCCATAACCAGTTTGGCTCAGTGGATAGAGCGTTGGCCTGCAGACTGGAAATTCCCAGGTTCGATTCTGGTCAAGGACATGTACCTTGGTTGCAGACACATCCCCAGTGGCAGCAGGAGGCAGCTGGTCAATGTTTCTCTCTAGTCGATGTTTCTAGCTCTCTATCCCTCTCCCTTCCTCTCTGTAAAAAATCAATAAAATATATTTTTAAAAAAAGAAGAAGAAAAGGCATGCTGTTATAGCCAATGTTTCTCTTTCTATTGTTAAAAAATAAAGCAATTACTCTATAAATGTCACCTTATTTCCAGGTCCTCCAGGAACTATAAGACAATAATTTTTCTATAGAATATCTCTCCTGCCTTCACCAAGTCTGTTCCTTTTATGTAAGTATTATGCACCCTACTGCCATTACCCACATCCTGTAAATATTTTACAAGTGTACTCTGAATAACTCATACTCATGTTCGTTGCATGCTGTCTCCTGATATTGAAGGCTCATTGAAGCACAGAAATGTTTCTGCTGCTGCCGAAAGGTTCAATAATCAGACAATGGCCCACCTCCTAAGTCCTACATATATAAAGAACTTCTCTTCATTTTAGCAACTGATTCTAAGTGACTTAGTCAACCATGAGGGTCTTGCTTTGCATCCTTGGGGTCCTTGCCTTGTTGTCCACAGTTCCTCCAGGTAAGATGGAAACCTTTCTTTCCAGAGTTATGAAAATATGAGCTCTTCCAAGAGTTTGAAAACAATTTAGATTGTGCTATGCAATGAAGAATGTGAGAGGAGTGCATTGGCTGCTCACTGGAAGGGAAAGTTGATGCTACTACATCCATAAAGGGGTGCCTTTCAGTGATTTATCCTGTTGTGAAATCTAACTTGCAATTGTGATGGATCCAAAGATGGTGGAAATATGCTCAACATATACACACACAAAAAAAGGGGGTTGGGGGTGGATTGGGGGAAAAAATGGAAAGTGAGTAATGATTACAAGGGCCGGGGTAAAGAGGAGGCCACTCCATAATAACTTGTTGTTCACAGAACATTCTGATCTTTAATCTATGTAAAGAACTAGGTGGAAATTACTATGTGTAGTAGAGGCTAAGATTTCACCTCAACACTCTTAATCATATAACCAATTGTACAGACTTATTTATTGAATAATCAATCCAATTTTAAAAGCCACTAATACTATGTAATAAATACATGTTATTATTTGGGCTTATAACTGTTGCTTATTAAGATCTATTGACTTATTTATCTTTTCTGATGTATATACTACCTTGGAGCACATTTTTTAATACCTGGCAATTCAAAATGTTCTTTATTATTCTTAGCTTTAAAAATATATATATAGAGAGAGAGAGAGAGAGAGAGATAAAATTCACAACAAAATTCACTCTTTTAAAGTGAACCATTTCGGTGATTTTCTGTATATTCATAAAGTTATGCAATTGTCACCATTACCTAACTCCAGAACATTTCATCACCCCTAAACACAACTCCATATTCATTAACAGTTATTCCCCATTTTTCCCTCCCTTTAGACTTTGACAACCATTAGTCTGCTTTCTGCCTCTATCAATTTACCTTTTCTGGACACTTATTATAATCATGCAATACGAGACCCTTTGTGTCTGTTTTCTTTCACTTAGCTTACTGTTTTTCAAAGTTCACCCAGGTTGTGGCATGCTTTAATATTTAATTCCTTTCAACTGATGAATAGTGTTCTAGTAAACACATACGCTACATTTTATTTATCCACTCATCATTGATGGACATTTGGATTGTCTCTACTTTGGGACTGTTATGAATGATGTTGCTATGATCATTTATGTTTGGACCTATTTCCAATTCTCTTGGGTAAATACCTGGGAATAGAATTGCTGTGTTATACGAGTGACTCTATATTTAACTTTCTTGAGGAATTGACAATGTTCCACAGCTGCAGGCTTCCTTTTACAATCTCACCAACAATGCTCGAGGATTCCAATTTCTCCACATGGTCACCAACACTTGCTATTTGTCTTTACTATTATAAGTCCTAGCTAGTATAAAGTGATTTCTCATTATAATTTTAATTTTCATTTTACTTTGCAATTCATTTTTTTCTTTCTTTCACATCTTTTCATGTGTTTACTTGGCCATTTGTATATCTTCTTTTTAAAAAAATATATATTTTATTGATTTTGTACAGAGAAGAAGGGAGAGAGATAGAGAGTTAGAAACATCGATGAGAGAGAGTCATCGATCAGCTGCCTCCTGCACACCCCCTACTGGGGATATGCCCGCAACCAAGGTAATGCCCTTGACTGGAATCGAACCCGGGACCCTTCAGTCCCCAAGCCAACGCTCTATCCATTGAGCCAAACCGGTCTTGGCTGTATATCTTCTTTATAGAAATGTCTGTTCAAAGTTCTTTGTTCCTTTTAATTAGGTTGTCTTTTATTATTGAGTTGTCAGTTTTTATATATTCTAAACATTAAAAGTTTATCAGATATTTGAAAATTGCCTCTCCCATTTTGAGGATTTTTTCATTTTTATTTTTACTGGACATGCTTGCTGTAACAAGAAGTATGTTTTCAGGTTCAATGTTAAAAACAACTTAGACTCAATTGGCTTAAACAATGAAGAAAATATATTATTACACATAACAAGAAATCCAAAGAGTAAACAATTCTAAAATTGATTAATGCATCAGATTATCCATTCCATCAAGTGTCAGAAAAGTGCCAGATTTATCCTTACCTAGCTCCTTTCAAGGTCTGAAGATAGCAGTCTTTGTTCTAAACATCATACCCTGACCCACCAAATTACACCAGAGGGCATTTCTTCTTATATCAGCAAGGAATACTTTCCCAGAAGATCCCCAGAAATGGGCATAACCACCCCCCAACTAACTGCTGGCAAAGAAATGAAGAACAATATTATTGGCTTCAACTAATACAGATTTATGCCTAGGATATTTAGAAGATCGGTAGGCAATTGAACAGCTCAGGGCTCTGGCACCTAAGAACATAGTATATTTACATACTACTGTTTAGTTTTGTCACATTGTCTTAAAATTTATATAGAGACTAAAGGGAACCCTTATACACTACACTTCTGGTGGGAATGCAAATTGTTATAGCCATTATATATATAAAATCTCAGAATAGTATCCAGCCTTTAAAAAAAAAAAAAAAAAAAGGAAACTAAACCATTTGCAAAAACATGAACAAACCTCCAGGACAGTATGCTAAGTCAAATAAGTGAGACATAGAAAGACCAATACTGTATGATCTCATTTATATGTGGAATATAAAAAGGTCAAACTCAAAGAAGTATTATATATTGTATAATGGTAGTTACCAGAGGAGGGGGGAAGGGGGAATGAAGAGATGTTGGTCAAAGGGTACAAACATTCAGTGATAAAATGAACAAGTTCTGGAGACTTCATGTACAGCATGGTGACTATAGTTGGTAATGTATTGTATACTTGACATTTGCCATAAGAATAGATCTCAAGTAATTTTACCACTCAAAGAAAGAAAAAGATTATGTGAGGTGATAGATATGTTATTTCACGGTGGTAATAAATTCACATTGTATATTATATCAAAACATCAGTCTGGCTGGTGTGGCTCAATGATTGGACATTGAACCAAGAAACAAGAGGTAACTGGTTTAATTCCCAATCAGGGCACACACCCAATCAGGGTGCAGGGACTCAATCCCCAGTGGGGTGCATGCTGGAGGAGCCAGTTGATGATGTTTCTCTCTCATCGATGTTTCTATCTCTCTATCCTTTTCCCTTCCCCCCTCCATAAAAACATAATTTAAAAAAAATATGCATTTTTATTAATCAATCATTCCTCAATAAAGGTGAAAAAATATACACCCAAAAATGTGGTGAATGTTGTCATTTGCAACATGAATGGACCTTGAGAGTAATCAACTAAGTGGAATAAGCCAAACACAAAAAGACAAATACTGCATAATCTTGCTTTCTTGTGGAATCTTTTTTTAAAATTATACTCATAATAACAGAAAATAGGATAGCAATTACCTGGAGATGATGGGTAGAGAAAATGGGAAACTGTTAATCAAAGGTTCAGTTATTCCAGATAAACAAGTGAAGAAGTTCTGCTATACACACAGTACCTATGGCTAACAATGCTGTATTGTATACTTGAAATTTGCTAAGAGTATAGACCTTATGTTAAGTATTCTTACCACAAATAAGAACAATAATAATAATAAAGAATGTGGGATAAATCTTTGAAAGGTGATAGATATGTTTGTGGCTTTGATGGTCATGATGGTTTCATAGATGTATACTTGTCCCCAAACTTACAAATTCTATATATTAAACATGTACAGTTTTTTTTACATTGGTTTTAAACCATGATACAATGGTTTAGAAATAGATTATATAAAATGTCTTTTTATTAAAGTATTACAACTAAACAATGAAAAAGACATGATATAATTACAATTTCACCAACGTGCAACCCCCATTTCATTGATGAATCTAGCCATTGAGCATTAATAACTACTATAATCTTCAAAAAAAGACAACCAGACATTGCGGGTCTTCTTATAAAACACACACACACACACACACACACACACACACACACACACACCCCAAGACATTGCAGCTAGCTAAAGGAATCAAAAATAAGTCTGATCAAGCCTTTGAATTGTGCTGCCAATTTTGTGAAAATACAGAGGACACAGGAACATGCTGAATTCTCCAAGAGTATGCAATCTATATATATAAAAGCCTAAGCAACCAAAGGACTGGTCGCTATGATGCGCACTGACCACCAGGGGGCAGACACTCAATGCAGGAGGTGCCCCCTGGTGGTCAGTGCACTCCCACAGCAAGAGCACCACTCAGGTGACCTATGGGCACCAGAGGCAGGGCTCACAGCTGGTGAGTGCCACTATGGCGGCGGGGTGAGCCTCTCCCAAACTGAACTGACAGGAGATGCAGCCGGGCCAGGATGAGCAGGAGCAGCAGGCAGGAGTGGCATGCAGCGTTGGAATACAGTTTCTGCCTGATCCCCACAGGCCATGCCAAGGGACCCCACCGGTGTATGAATCTGTGCACCGGGACTCTAGTCAAAAAATATCAGCTATGGGAACACTACAGGTTAAACATGAACAGTTCTTCAATGTAAAATATACATGAAAAAGAAATAATTCAAGAAAACCCTATAGATTTAAAAGGAATAGCAAACATTGTGATGAGATGAAAACTAAGCTATAATGTCTAGGGATGAAAACTCAGGTAATAAAACACATTTTTTAAAGTAAGGAAGTTATTACTATAAAACTTAGGATCATTTTATTTGGGAGGAAAAGATAGACAAAAATGTGTGTGAGAGGGAAAGAGAGAGAAGGGGGAGAGAGAGAGAGAGAGAGAGAGAGGAGAGAGAGAGAGAGAGAGAGAGAGAGAGAGAGAGAGAGATCTGGGAACACAGTGAGAGATTATGGCTTATGGGATCTTGTGTAGAGCTAAGAAACTTTCTCAGTAAATGAGACATGGTTTGGGGCCTAAATACACCAGAAAGTTGGAGCCAAGACCCAACTCTTTCTGTCTCCTTCTCATTCTCTGTTGGTGATTGTTGTTTTTTTTTTTTAATAAACCAATAAAATAAAAGGAACAATAAATTTCCCATTTTTCCACCACCATACAGCTTCTAATGAAAACTTACCCTGCCTTTTCTTGATTTTCTGACTTAAGGCTACCCCTTCCTCTTACACCCTGAATTTTATCCCCACTCACTCTTGAAATGAAACATTCTTTCTTTTATTTCTTTTTTCTTTTTAATATATTTTTATTGATTTTTTACAGAGAAGAAGGGAGAGGGATAGAAAGCTAGAAACATCAATGAGAGAGAAACATTGACCAGCTGCTTCCTACACACCCTCCAACAGGGATGTGCCCGCAACCAATGTACATGCCCTTGACTGGAATCAAACCTGGGACTCTTCAGTCCACAAACCGATGCTCTATCCACTGAGCCAAACAAGTTTCAGCTAAACATTCTTTCTTAAATCATAAATCTTCTCCCCTAAATGAATGTTTAATTTTAGAAAAAAATATGCTGTAAAACTTCTCATCAGAAACTTTTCCCCTTTTCAGCTACTGCCACTTACAACAGAAATAATCATTTATCATTATTCATGATTTCCACTGTTCTCTACTGTAGTTATTTTTTTTTCTGGGCAAGTTCTTTAATGTTGTTTTCATTTATTATGAAACACTTTCAACATTAAAATATACAAATAACTAACACAATACAATACGATGTTTTCTCTTTTCAAAGCGAGAAACTTCTCTCTTAACGGCAAATGTTCTTCATTATACCATAAATGCAGAATGAAGTGCAATTCTGATGAATTTGCAGTTAGATATTGTTCAGACTGGAGCATCTGCTGCAGAATAAAGAAAGTTGAACAAAAGAAAGAAGTGGTGAAAAGTCCAACTCCATTTTCTTCAGACTCCAAGAACAGAAACTAAAAGTGAATAAGATTCCCACCTCTACATAAGAATAATTTGTCCGGCCGGCATGGCTCAGTCATTGAGCATCAACCTATGAACCAGGAGGTCATGATTTGATTTCCAGTCAGGGGACATGCCCAGGTTTTGGGCTAGATCCCCAGTGTGAGGCATGCAGGAGGCAGCGATCAGTGATGCTCATCGTTGATGTTTCTCTCTCTCTTTCTCTCTCTCTCTCTCTCTCTCTTTCTCTCTCTCTCTTCTCTGAAATCAATAAAAATGTTTTTTAATTTTTAGAAAGAATAATTAATATGATAGATAATGGAAATTTATGATAATTATGTTGATGTTAAAGTAAATATAAATTTAATAAAGACTTACAGTCTATTTCGATGTGTGCACGTTTACATTCATTTCCTCAGTTTAAATTCACAACCACATTGTTGTTTCACCAATAGTACAAGAACCCAGCCCACCACTTACTCACTTTTTAACCTTGGGGAAGTGCTTTAGTGTCTCCTTTCCTCAGTTTCCTTATTTATGAAGTGGAATAACATTAGTACCTACATCATGGTGTTATGAGGATTCTATGCATTAATACACATAAATTCTTAAGCAGTACCTGACCCCAATATAAGCTCCATATGTGTTCATTATGATATCATAGACCAGAGAATGTGATCTGCCTTACAGCATTTTGGAATCAGTTAAATCATTCTTTGTGGTCTAAGATAAAACTGATATTTGCTCCAATTTCCTGTGGTTTTTAAAAGAAGGTATATCTTCTGTATCTAAGGTAATACAATCCTACATAAAAAAAAAAAAGAGCTAATATGCTAATTAGGCTGTCTGGATGACCTTCCAGATGAGGGCCAGCCAAGCCCCTTGCATGAATTTCATGCATCAGGCCTCTAGTCTTATATAAACACAACATATTTATGCAACATTACAATATTTTAGTAATCTAGTACCAGAACACCAGAATGAGGACCAAGAAGAAAGAAAAGAGGCAGATGGATTTCAGGAAAAGGAGTGACAAAATTTAGTGGCCATATAATAAAGGATGATCCTGAGGTTTCAAAGCTGGCAAAGAGATGGTTAGCTTATTTAGCTCACTAAACTAGAATCCAGAGAAAGTAGGTTGGGAATGTGAGGAAAGTTAATGTTTTGGGGCCTAGCCAGTTTGGCTCAGTGGATAGAGCATCAGCCTGCGAACTGAAGGGTGTAGGTCAAGGGTGTAGGTCAATTGCAGGCTTGATCCCCAGGCTTGGTCTGAGTGTTTGAGGGAGGCAACCAATCAATGTGAGAGACATCAATGTTTCTCTCTGTGTCTCTCCCCCTCCCTACCACTCTCTAAAAATCAATGGAAAAATATCTTTGGGTAAGGATCAATAATTAAAATTTAAAAAAAGAAAGATGTTTTGGCATAGTGGAATTTTAGCATAAAGGTCTAGGATATGAGTATCAGTTCACTAGGCACATGCAGAAGTATAACTTAAAATTTTTTATAAATGAACTTAATTCCTATTATGAACCTCATTCTACCTGATCATAGAAACTGAAATATAGTCAATTTAGAGTCACTCCTCTTTTCTCCAAGTTACTTTTAAGTTCCAGAGGAGTTAAACAGTGGTGAGGCATCTGAGAGAGCTTTGCTTAAGATATCCTCCTCACTTGGTCTCCCATAACTAGTCAAGGTATGACTTCTGAGTTGCCTCTTAGTCTTAATAAAATTGTCAAAACTCAGATACAGTAAAGCAACAGGCAGACTGTCAAATTGCAGCAGGGAGGGTAGGGAGATCTGGGGGAGATAAGAAATCAACCAAAGGACTTGTATACATGCGTATAAGTACAACCAATGGACACAAAACTCTGGGAGGGAGGGTATTTATGGGGGGGGGGCAATGTTAAAATATGTACACAGATAATAATTTAATTTAAAAAAATTAAAATTTTATAGAAAAAGGTATAAAGGGTGATTCTTTTAATAAAAATAAAATTGCCAAAACTCTTTGAGTGGGGCTCATTCCTTAGTGCATAAGATAATTCTGCTACTCATATATTATTCTGAATGTTACCAAATATTCACATGGAACTGTCTATGACTTTACCACTTCCATGACTTCAGCCATATAGGGATTATGCTACTCTCCCTTGCCACACTGGGGAAGACCTGGGTGAGGGAAGAGGAGCCAATGCTATGAGACTATCTACTAAAGAGAACCATGCAATCAATGCTGAGCTATATTCTTGCCATCTCTCTGAGTTCCACTAACGTAAGGAAACACTAGTGCATCATTGCTCTCAGACTACACAGTATTTCTGCCTTCCATTTCCCTATGCCATTTCTCTCCTCTCTTATTATATAAATACCAGGACTAAAGACAGAAACAGTGACCTATCACAATATAAACTGTCTTTTCTCCTTCACTCATATACTCTCCTTCTGCCTCTACCTTATTTAAGACTAGGTTTGGGAAAACCTTAATCTCAGACTTTTGGCCTTCAGAACAATGACACAATTCAGTGAGTGACCAGATTATTATCATCTCTGAACACATAATAATGTAGCCACTCAGTGTATATACATAAATATTAGAGGCCCGGTGCATGAATTTGTGCATGGGTGGGGTCTGGCCAGTCTGGCCAAGGGGCAGGGACATAGGCAGTTGGCCGGCCTGCCTGCTGGTCAAACTCCTGGTTGAGGGGACAAGCTGCATATTAGCCTTTTATTAATATTATATAGGATATGCACTGAGTGGCCAGATTATTATGTGTTCAGAGATCATAGTAATCTGGCCACTCTGTACATTTTGTTGTTTAGGCTACCTAGTTTGTGGTCATTTATTATGGCAGCTCTTGAGAACAATACACCAGACTTCTTTTATTTTTTACTCTTTTCTTAATTTATTTTTAATTAAACTTATTGGGGTGATATCAACATAAGAAACATCCAAACGTGTAAGTATTTTTATGAGTTTATTTGAGCTAAACTGACAACAATTGCTGGGAAGCAAAATCTTAAGGGATTGAGGAAAAGCTCAAGAGAATGACAGTTATGCACCTTATTTTATACATTACAATTAAAGGAGGAGGTATAAGGATGGTTACATGAAACTCAGTGGTGATACTTTAGAAGGAGGGGAGAAAGCCAAGCGGGGAAATCCCTAGGATTGGATAAAAAGTAAAATGAATAGACACATACTTCTTTTACATTTGTGGGTATAGAATGGTTAACAATCAATAATTACTCTGATAATGATAACGATGATAGGATTTGTTGTCTTTGCTCTGAGACTGTGGTTGTGCTTTGAGGGGTCTGGGAAAAAGCAAATTACTTTGATATTTCAAAGGTGTGTTATCATAGATGCAAAAAGGAAAAGAAAAGAAAAAAGACAGCAGGCAGGCTCAGTTAAAGTGAAGATTAACCTTTGTAACCAGTTTGGTTCAGTGGATAGAGCGTTGACCTAGTGACTGAAGGGTAGTAGGCTCGATCCTCAGGGGACAGCCTAAAAGTTTTTTCTCATCATGATGCTTCTATCTCTTTCTCCCTCTCCCTTCCTCTCTGAAATCAATAAAAATGTATTTTAAAAAAGAAATAGCATATCGTTCTCAGGTCTCATCAGTACTTTTGGAAAACCCAGTCAGGGAGCAGTACCTTTGTCAAAAGGAAAAGCTGTCGAATGGGACAGCTGTCAGTTTTCCCTCATCTGAGCTTTGCCAACTCAGGTGCCTCGGGAGAGATCAGTGTAGCATATCCAATTGGAGCAGGCCACACCTCAGACTTGAGTGAGTCCCTTTCTGCTCTCTGACAGCCCGTGCCAGACCCTACCACCAGCCTCCTCCACAGCAGAGCCAGGCCATGAAGCCTCTCCTCATTGTGTTTGTCTTTCTCATCTTCTGGGACCCAGCTCTGGCAGGTAAAGTGGAAATCTTCCTGGGGGATCCTTTCTGGAGAAGAGCAATTCCACTATGCATGTCCTCCCACCAAGGGCCCTTTAATTCTCAAAGTAGGAAAAGCATCAAGCAGCTTTGATGTCAGCAGGGTCTGAGCTTGCATCTTGAATCTCCAAACTTGTTAGCTGTACTGCTATAGGCAAAAGTCTGAGCTTCTCTGAGCCTCAGTCTCTTCACTTTCAGAACAGAAATATAATACTAGCAAGAATTAAATGGTATAATATATAGAATATGCCTAAAGTAACATGTGCAGGGCCTGACTTATGAGAAGTACCATTATATTTTCATTAGTGATGTCCCATTTTATTTTGCCACTGGTTTGTCTAATTCAGGAACATAGCTAGTCATACTAGTCAAAACCAGCAAATGGTGATGACATTTTAAGCCTCCTAATATGTGGAAATTGTGTATAGTGAATTAATATTTGTAGATGCCTTAAGTACATGGTGAAACAGATGTGGAACTGCTTGTTCCAAGAAAATTAATGAGGCCCTATGTGATAAAAGACATGAAAGACTAACTGGCCTCATGTTCTGACTTTAGAAATCTCATTCTGCATATTCTCCTCGTTCAGTGGAATCAACTCAAATCCATATGTTAGAGGGCCCCATTTAATTTCTTACCTTCCTGCAGTATACTCTAGGCAAATGAACTAGATTTTCAGATCATAACTCAATGGGCTGAAATTAAAAATCCCTAGTATTCAGGCCTTTTAAAGCTCTTGGTAGGACCAATACTATTGTTTATTACCACAGATCTCCAGACAATTGCATATAGTCTATAATATTCCATTTAGTGTCTTATACATTTCCATGGCTAGTCTTTTTCATAGGACTTTCTCATCTCCTATGCAGACCATTACATTTCATTTCTTCAGGCTTCCTTCTTGCCAGCTAAATAACCCGATCCTTTCTTTTTTCCTATAGGACAATTATCCTCCAGGTCATGATGACTTGGATAGGATATGTGTTGGCTCAAAATATTGACACATGGACAAATACTGGCACTCTTGTCCTTTTAACACCTTCTTACACGTGAGCATAAAGAAACATTCATATTTCAATGATCCTGTGGAGTAGCCTGTCTACAAAATGATAAGCCCAGCTCTAACGCCTTGGGCTCTAATAAGACATCCCAAATCTGATTTCATCCTCCTTTGAACTCATGCCATTCCATATGGCAAATGTTTCACTAGACTTGTCATGTTTTTCTTCTCTCTTACAGGTATTTTGTGCTTCTTCTATCTTTGTCTAGACTGAAAAATTTTTGAGATTAAGGTCTATATCACACTCGAATCTTCAGCCCAACAGTACCTGAGTTTATAAAAACTGGTTTGGGCCGGGACCGGTTTGGCTCAATGGATAGAGCGTCGGCTTGGGGACTGAAGGGTCCCGAGTTCGATTCCGGTCAAGGGCATGTACCTTGGTTGCGGGCATATCCCCAGTAGGGGGTGTGCAAGAGGCAGCTGATCGATGACTCTCTCTCATCGATGTTTCTAACTATCTCTCTCCCTTCCTCTCTGTATAAAATCAATAAAATATATTTTTTTTAAAAAACTGGTTTGGGAATTAATAAGTAATTAAAAATGAGTTAAGGATTATATACATAGGTAATTTGATGGTTTCAAGTGATTATTTGACCAATTTAGGCAAACTTCCAAGTTACTAATTGTCTTAGTCAGCTCAGACTGCCATAACAAAAATACCACAGATTTCATGGCTTTAAAAAACACACACACACACACACACAAAAAAAAAACCAACTTTATTTTCTCATAGATCTAGATGCTGGAAAGTCCAAGATCAACTGCAGGTCAATTCAGTTTCTGATGAGTTATATTTCCTGCCATCTTCTTTCTGTATCTTCTACCAATAAGTCTTACCAGTCCTATTAATTTAGGCCACCAATCCTAATGCATTAGGGCCTCACTGTTATTACCTTTTGTTAATTTTTTATTGTTGAAAGTATTACATATGTCCCTTCTTTCCCCATATATCTCTCCCAGTCATCCCTGTTATGACCTTATTTAATTACCTCCTAAAGTCCCAATCTCCAAATACAGTCACACTGAGGATTAGGGTTTCAACATATGAATTGGGGAGTGGAGGCTGCAATTCAATCCATAGCACAAGCTAATATTTTTCTATCAGAATCTATTAGAATTAATTAAATTTTATCAGAATCAGTCATTATGAACTAGTCTCCTTGGAATCCAATGTAGTAAAAGGGGAAAAAAAGTTGAGGGCCTTGTTATTTTATAGTCCAAACAGATCTTTAGTGAATTCTCCTCCCATTCATTGTCTTTCCAGGCTTGAATCCACTATCATCAGAAATACACCAGAAATGCTATGGAAATGGCACCTGCAGACTCGAGTGCTATACAAGTGAAATGTTAGTTGCCTACTGTACGTTTCAGCTGGAGTGCTGTGTCAAAGGAAACCCTGACCCCTGACAGGAGAAGCCAGTGAATGTCAAATACCTTGAAAACCCTGACCATCTTTCACACGGCCAAGGAATTTATACTAAACAGTGGCACTGTGATGTGCCCACACCTGTTAAACTTTAGCATTTTTATAAGCCTTCAGATTCTTAGGATTTGGGGTTTTTAAAGCTGACCTACAGCTTTCCTAAAAGCAGATAAGCGTCTCAGGAAATCAACTTAGAATACATTTTCCCAATTCAAAGTGATATCTGGGCTCTCCACAGTGCCTATTTATCTCTTTACTCAATGGTAGGATGTCTTGATTATTCAAAGAGGCTTCAAATTATAAAAATGTCTCCTTATACTTAGGCTTTACCATTCCTTCAGCTCCCCACTGTCTTTTCTTTGCTCCTCCAATCTACAGAGGAGCAAATCTGTCCTGGCCTCCTGTTGACCTTGGGCATCTCTCACATAGAACAAATAGGCGAGGCCTAACTGCAGGCTGGCTTGAGTCTGGACCAGGCCTGACCCTGCAGTTCTTCTTGGCACACAAGGAGAAAGGCCATGTTGTGATGGGCTGCATGAGACAGGTTCTTATTCACCTTCCTGGTTTCAGAGAGTGAAAGCATGGGATTTTCCACTTCAGCCTGCTTAGGGTCCAGGCTATGAGGCCACTTCGCTATGGAGTACAGGATTTGGGTTTTCTGATTCTTTCTATTCTAGAACACCTTTTTCAAATGCACTGTGCAAATTGCATTGCATTTGCTTAAGTACTGAAAACCCTCATTCATTTGTATATTTACTTGAGTTTGCAATTCATCTCTTCTGAATTCTTTGTTTTATTCCAAAGAGAAATTCCTTCTCATTTCCAAATTAATTATACTTCTAAACTTTCCTCAAGTATGGAATACAGGTCCAATTGCATAGGCAACTTCCTTGAGAATGAAGTTAGCTGTCCTTTATAAGCATAGCTACCTATAATTTCTTTTTGTTTCCACTTCAATAAAAAATTTTTTTTTTGCAACCTTTCCCTTTGAGCCTGAATCCTTAAAGCTGAAGTGGGTCTCTTATAGTAGCATATAGTTGGGTCTTGTTTTTGTTATTGTTATTGTTTGTTTACTTGTTTGTTTTGTTGGGCTTTGCTTTGCTTTTTTATCCATGCAATCACTCTGACCTTTTGATTGGAGAATTCGATTCATTTTCATGTAGATTATTGATCTATAAGAGCTTACTAATGCCATTTGTTTTCTAGCTGTTTTGTATAATAGTTCCTCTCTTGCCTTTGTGAATTGATGCTTTTCAGGAGTGGACTCAGATTTCCTTCTCTTTATCCTCTGTGAATCTACTATATGCTTTTGCTTTGTGGCTACCATGGGGTCTACATAAAACACTTTCTAGATTTAACAGTCCATTTTTCTGGAAGCAACTTTGATACCATTGTAATAATCTGAGTATTATTCACATGAAAGGAGTAAAGGGAAGATTAGATAATATTGGTATAGGCATGCCATTTATACAACTTTGCCAGAAAACTGTAATCTAACACTCTCCAGGGCTGTTCCCTGCTCATCGATCGGGGAAGGGACTGGATAATAGATCTAGGCCCATGAAGTTCTGGGTGACATGGGAAAATGCTTACCTGACAGTCACACCTGGAAACAAACTAACCAGTGGCCAGAATAGGCATGGCTACTGCAAGAACTCAAAACCTGAATATTTAAACTCCTAGACAAATGGAGCTTGAGCTCTTGGTTCTTGGCCCTCTTGCTCTTTTGGGATTCCTAAAAGCAGCAAGAAAAAATGCAGGTGTATTCTCCTGTATTCGCCCATGTAGCCTTCAGCCATGTGGACTCCACACCATGGATTAATGGACTGAATCTGGACTCAATGCACTAGACCTGGCTACAACATTAGAACAGAAGCTCTGGACACTGGTGCTGCTTTTGGCTCTACTGGAATACTTACTCCACTTTTTCTGGACTGGTTTAAGGCAGTTGTTGGCAAACTCATTAGTCAACAGAGCCAAATATTAACGGTTCAACGATTGAAATTTCTTTTGAGAGCCGAAAACCGTCTTCTGCGAGTAGGCCAAGAAGTTTCAATCGCACTGCATGTGCACTCCTGCATGTGGTATTTTGTGGAAGAGCCACACTCAAGAGGCCAAAGAGCCTCATGTGGTTCGCGAGCCATGGTTTGCCAACCACTGGTTTAAGGGTCATTAGAAACTGAGGAATGTAACTACACAAAATAAAGTCTTTTACTACATCTTGTTCTCCCAGTGGGGCTTTGAAAATGCTTATTTCAGCAGCACTCCAAGGACCCCACACTCATGAGCGAGGGAGGAATTTGATGCTCTGGTGACAACTTAACCTCAATCACCTACAGAAAATGTACCTGGCCCTACTTGGTTCGGCTCAGTGGATAGAACATCGACCTGCAGATTGAAGGGTCCTGGGTTCTATTCCAGTCAAGGGCACATGCCTAGATTGTGGACTTAATCCCCTGAGTGGTCCATTCAGCCCAGCCCGTGCCCTCTTGCAGTCCAGGACCCCTCACTCCTTACCGCCTGCCTGCTTGCTGCTCCTAATGAGGGTGTGCAGGAGGCAGCTGATCAATGATTCTTTCTCATCATTGATGTTTCAATCTCTCTCTCCCTCTCCCTTCCTTTCTGATATCAATAAAAATATTTTTTTAAAATGAATCTACCATTAAAACCAGTTTGGCTCAGTGGATAGAGCCTCAGCCTATGGACTGAAAGGTCCCAGGTTCGATTCCGGTCAAGGGCATGTACCTTGGTTGCAGGCACATCCCCAGTAGGGAGTGAGCAAGAGGCAGCTGATCTATGCTTCTCTCTCATTGATGTTTCTAACACTTTATCCCTCTCTCTTCCTCTCTGTAAAAACTCAATAAAATATATTTTTTAAAAGAATCTACCCTTTTATTTATCCTCTTTTATGTTTGTGAAATCACACTTTACCACTTTTTATATTGTGTATTTGTTAAAATTATAGTTACTTTGAGTATATTTTTTAACCTTTATACTACAGTTAAATGGTTAGCACATCATCATATTGCATATAGAGTTTTCTAATTTGACAGTTTATATACCTATGCCAAAGTGTTGCATATTTTCATATAACTAGTTAGTCTCTTTTTATTTCTGTTTGAAATATTCCTTCAGCATGTCTTGTAAGACAGGGATAGTGGTAAAGAATTGTCTCAACTTTTATTTTTCTGGCAAAGTTTTTATTTTTCACTCATTTCTGAAGGATAACTTTGCCAGACAGAGTATGCTTGGCTGACATTTGATCTTTCAGCACTTTAAATATATCATATGACTTTCTCCCAACCTATAAGGTTTCTGCTGAGAAATTCACTGAGAACTTAATAAGGTCCTTTTTAGATTACTTTGTTTATCATGCTGCTTTTAGGATTTCCTCTTTGTTTTTGATTTTTTTAATATACTTTTATTGATTTCAGAGATGAAGGAAGAGGAAGAGAGATATAAAACATCATGATGAGAGAGAATCAATGATCGGCTGCCTCCTGCATGCCCCACACTGGGGATAAAGCCCACAACCCAGGTATGTGCCCTGACCGGGAATCAAACCATAACCTCCTGATTCCTATGTCAACACTGAGCCATGCCAGCCAGGATGTCTTTGATTTTTGACAGTTTCATTATAATGGGTCTTATGGAATATCATTTTGAATCAAAATAATGAGGATATTTATTAGCTTAATGAATTTGGATGTTAAACCTCTCCTCAGCATGGGAATTTCTCAGCTATTATATCTTTAAATAAACTATCTATTCCTTCTCCCTTTCTTTTCCTTCTGGAACTATTATGATTCTAATATTTATTCTTTTAATGGTACCCCATACCTTATGTAGGCCTTCTTTGCTCTCTTTTTTTTTCCTCTCTCTCTCTAGAGGTCTGGTACACAAAATTTGTGCAAGGGGGTGGTCCCCTCAGCCCAGCCTGTGCCTTCTTGCAGTCCAGGACCCCTCGCTCCTTACCACCTGCCTGCTTGCTGCTCCTTAACGCTCAGCTCACTGCTCCTTAATGCTGCTGCAAAGGCAGGAGAGATACCCACCTCTGCTGCTGCACTCACCAGCAGTGAGCCCAGCTTCTGGCTGAGCAGGACCACTGGTGGTCAGTGCACATCATAGTGACTGGTCATTCTGCTTGTTCTGCCATAATGGTCGCTGACGCTTTCATTATATAAATAGTTCTCTTCAAGTAATAATATAATTCTGGGGTAATAATATATAATTCTAAGGACATGTGTACTGATATTTGTAACCTACTTTAAAATGCGTCAAGCAATTGGATGGGTTGTTCTATATACTTTTTACATCCATTGAAGTGAGGTCTTTGTGTGGAGTTGGAAGGCTGCTATTAGGCTTAATCTACTGGCATAAGTTCAGGTGTATATGGAGAAGGGGATGGACATAAGAGGGACAATTTCTCAAAGGAGAGAGGAATATGGAATTCTTAGGATGGTATCTCTTTCCTTCCAAGTCACATAAATATCTTCCTGAGTTCTGTACAGAAGAGATTGCAGGAAGTAGCAGTAAATGCTGTTTTCAAAAGAGACTCTGTGAGACTTGAGACCATAAGCCACATTGATTTAGTGCCTAGGTAATGAAAAAAAGGTACAGAACAGGGATATTTACCCTATCTTAGTTTGGACCAACATAAAACTGGTTCAGTGAACCCTATACAAAATGTAACAGTCCTTTCTTTTTCCCCAAATAATATGGAGAGACATCAGTGTAAATATGACAGTGCCAACCACAATGGCAGCAACAGATAAATTTCAGTGGTAGAATTAAAATACCAACAGCATGTTTTGCAGACCTAGAATGAACTCTCCAAAAATTCATCTGGAATAAAAAATTAAAAATTAAAAAAAAAAAACCGACCTCAATTAGCTGCAGCAGTTCTGAGAAAAAAGAACAAAATAGATGGGATTTCAATACCAGATATCAAGCTGTATTACAAAACCACTCTTCTCAAAACTGC